GTCCAAGTATCACCTAACTCCAAACCAAATTTCGATATCATAGTACTTCTTAACTAAAAGATATCGGCATTTTTAGAAGTCATGATTTTCGAAGAAAAAAATTGAAATTAATTTTTATTTCGAAAACGGTAACAGATAGGTATAGGGAAATATCAAGAAAAGTTGTCGGGCAATTGTTGGAGATTCCAAAAATAATATTATATACAGAGTGTTCCATTTGAAAAATCAAAGTTGCTACTGCTTTCTAATAGAAGCGGCAACAACGCATTGTCGAAAATATTTTAGTTGGCTAGAGAATGTCCGAATATGCCCTCCATTGAATTTTCAAAGTGATCCGTTGTCTAGTTCACCAGAAACGTCTAATGTGCCATCCACCGTGAATCAGCCTGTATGAAAGCGTATCATCGGTAGTTCCATCTTGAATCATCTAAACTTTTGATTAGACGAGTTACTACAATAATAAAATAATATTTTTCTAGAAAGATTTCCAATGATATTATGAATAATTTTTTTTATAATATTCAATTTCTAAAAAAATCAGTGTAGTTTATATTTTTTTCCTACACAACGCGTTTTTTTCATATGCGGGACTTTCCTGCCCAGGTGTTATATGAAATTTTAACGAATATTGTGAAGAGGAAATATTTTTATTTGTTTCATTGTTTGACCGTCATGGATACTCTTACATTATATTGAGTTACCTCTTCATAGATCACTGAATGAACATTGGCAACATTCGAAAAATCAAAAACATATTGAAGCAATAATCAATATTTTTTGTAAACATTTATGAAGAAATATGGGTAGATTTAAAATCATAATGTGTCAATTTTCAACAACTTTTTCAATCTTAGAAATTCTGTTTCATCCATAATACACACACAAGTCTCTTCACAAACTCATAAACCAGCAATGAAAAAAAATCTGTTTCCAATTCAACTCCGCGAAATCTTTCCACATCCGGCAACTAACGCAGAGGTTCTTTTGAAAATGCATCCACTTTTTCTCTGAATCATAATGTCTTAAGTACACTCGAGAAGATATATCCAGCTGGGTAAAGCTTTCGAATCCGACGTTTCTATTGTGATTACGATGCACATACACTTTGGAGCACTTTCATTAGAGCTGAATCGAAATGCATATCTTTCTCGGAGCGCTTGCAGGCGTTCGAAAAGGCCGAAATTATAACTAGAAAATGTAAAGTATAGGTGGTTATTCTCTGTCGAATATTCAGTACAGAAAAAAGGACTTGAAATCCGTATGGTATTTGTTACTCCTCATTCTCTTCACCTCTTTGTTGACTACTGTAACAAATTCAAAAGAAGGAAACAGGATAAAATCGACGACAGAAATGATCGAAATTCGTTAGTTGAGCTAAAACATTTCATTATATACACGCTTTTATGTATCAGTCGCTTATCGCCAGTGTATTACAGAATATGTCACAACAGACGTTCGAAAGAGCATTGAATCAAATTGTCGTTTTGATATAATCTAATATGAATTACATCGTGAGCTCATTACAATTGATTCAGTCTGAGAATGTAAGTCATTGAAAGGTAGTACCGGAACCTCTGACGTAAAAAAAAGGACATAGAATAACTTCAAAACAAGGACTGTTCCCAAATACCAGCACGACAACATTTTTGTCAACTCGTCTTCCACCAATCATTTGTTTGGCGTAAATTTTTCGGTCGACTCACCATTTTTCCCAGAAATTTATTTTTGGGTTTCAGAAACTGGTGAGAACTATAATGTGTGAATTCTTCTTTCAATACGAGGAAATAAACTGAGCCAACAGGGATTAGTTTTACTGATTCGGAAGAGAACTCTTTTCAGGATCCTGAGGTTTTCAGAGAAACTAGTTGTGTAGATTACAACTTTATTCGAGTATACGAATACATAGTTCTCAAGGTCATGAATCGTTGCCACATAGCTAGGGTGTTGTGTAGACCGAACGGCATTCTTTCAAATTGGGAGACCCCTTTGGTGGGTACTACAAAAGCAATGGAATGGTCGGGAGTCCTGAGGTTCAGGGATGTGCCAAAGAGTTGATTTTGTGTTGTTGAGTAAGTAACGAGCATCTCTAAATTATCTCAATAACTCGTGCCCATTCAGTGAACACTTACTTTGTTCTGATCTAACATATCCCGTGTTATAGGTATTGAATTGCTGTCGCAATTGCTGAAATTGTCGCATTTCAGTTGTAATACACGGAGAATATTTTCAATTATACATATAATGGGTTCGTTTTTCTTTTTTCGAATTTCAACTAATATGCCCCATTTTTCTTCAATCGTCAATTTTGAACTATCGTCAATGACAATGTACTGTGTTGGAGTAACTAGGTTTTGTTTCTCATAGTTATTACAGTGCATAGAGTATGCTCTATCAAAGTTCTGGTCAATTGGACTGATCCCTCATCTCTGCAATTGATCATGACGTCGAATTATTCGAAGCTCATCTGGAGCACTGCCCCAAACTGAGGAAAATGTTTGGAATACTGTTGATTTTTGGACCAAGACTTGTGTTCTTTCACACATTCCAATTGCGGTTTTGCACACAATGAGATTTTTCCACTGATCAATGATTTCCATCAGGTCGTTTTCACCATTTATTTTTCTATACTGTTTTCGACAACAATATGAACTTTTGCAGTTCGTAGACTCATGTTTATTTTGGAGTGCTGCAATGTTTAGGTATTTCCATTTTTGGCGAGTACAACTACTCTCTTGATTTCAGTTCTATCTATGATATTTTACAATTTTTTGAACAATCACAGTAATAAACGTTAGTTTTTCTGGTTATAATAATTTTCTTCTCTCGTTCAACTGAATTGGGCCAATAAACTATTGATTTCTCAGTGTTTTGCATTGACGAGAACATGAACATCAATATTACAACAGGGTCAAAGTTGTCGGAACATATTTTGAAATCAGACGGCAAACATCGAGTTGAATGGAAGAAAGAAAAATTGTTTAATGTCTAAACAGGAATAAATCCCAATAACAAGACATATAAATATTATTAACAAGCATGTTACAGTTTTATATCCGCCTATATACACACAATACACATACATATATACATACATACATACTAATTTATCAACTAGAAACACCTGAAGCGAGTAAACAAAAAACAAAATAATGTAAACATTTAGGAGCGTTAAGCAAAAAATTAGGTGGAAAACTAGTGTGCAGCAAGCTAGGAGAGTAATTGGAAAAAACCATGAGTCAAATGTAGAGCTAACAAGTAGAAACATAGTTCAAGTGAATTACAAAAAAATACATAATTCAGCAGTAAAACAGTAGTAGTAATAAGCTCACATGGTTGAGTAACTTTCAATTTGGGCTCATGTATTTTGACTAGAGTGAAAAAGTTTCTCAACGTGGTTCTTAACTTGACCAATAGGTTCATAATAAATGTCGAGATTTTCACAGAGTTGATTGTAAAGTTTGCTCATTGCAACAACTGGTGACTTGAGTAATATGTTTGTTGTACATGTTGTAGATAAAAAGTCAGTTCATTTCTAGAATTGATTCGTGGAACATGAAAGTTGAAGTGAGAGAGTAGTTCGGGACAGTCAATCAGATTATTCACTAGTTTATAAATGAAAATTATAGAGTAGTAAGTTCTTCGGTTTTGAAGGGATAATAGATTGAATTTATCCAGTAGTATTCTGTTGTCGATGCCCTGTTCAGGGTGAACTCCTTCTAGCTTGTGAGTAATATATTTCATGAAGCCTCTTTATATAGACTCGATTTTGTTCATGTGGACATTGTATATGGGTGACCATATAAGGGAGGCATATTCCAGCCGAGATAAATATTACGATAAATGAGCCCTAGCATCCGTTTGGCTGAGCATGATATTGTGTCATAGTGAATGGGGAAACTCAGTTTAGGGTCAAATGTGACACCAAGATCTCTTTGATGAGTGCTTATTTGAAGAGGTGTGTTATTTATGCAGTAATCATGAGAAATAACATTATGTTTAAGGGTGTATTTTGTGTATTTACATTTGTTTGTATTGAGGGGAAGATTATTTTCGGTACACCAAATGTACAAAAAGTCAAGGTCTATTTGTAAGATTAAGCAGTCCTCCTGTGATGTAATGGGCCGAAAGCTTTTCAAATCATCTGCAAAGAGTAAGAAATTGCTAGAGAGATTATTTCCCATGTCGTTACTGAATAGTGAGAATAAAAGAGGTGTTAAATTGCTTCCTTGAGGGGCACCACTGTTTGCAATAAATTGGAACGACTTGTGACCCCTATAATCTACGAATAGGTTACGTTCAGTTAAGTATGAGCGGAAAAAGTTCAAGAGTTGGGTGTCGAATCCATATTGGTGAAGTTTATTGATAAGAATGTTATGATTCAACTTGTCAAACGCCTTCGAAAATTCTGAGAAGACGAATATGACTGCCAATGAACCACACGCTGAATGAAGTGAGCTCAAAGAATCAGCGTATATTTATATTTTTATTGAATTTATTGGAGCCTCTGGAGACACCCTACATTTTGTTTCATAAGAGAGAGGAGATTGTTCAGATGATGTGGTGCTGCAGGTTTTTCCGGGTTTTCCTGCAGCTGAAAAAGCAAATGCGCCACTGGAATCAATGAAGTCGCCCCGGAGCGCCAATTCATTTTTATTGTTGTTTGCACAAGTCAATCAACAACATTGACATTCTTCACATTCCAGATTTTTTTTTGATATCAGAACAAATGAATCGAACCCAAATGAAAATCGGAAATTTACATTTGATTTTCCACAATTCTGAATAATACCCTATAGCAGGCCCCCTTATCACAACCAATGTATCAAAAACTAATGTTGACCAACTATAAATAAACATTCAACATTCAACAAAGTCATTTTTTGTGGAGGAAAAAATCAGTTTTTTTATCGACCTTTTTTGGGTAATTGTTACCTTCCACAAACTTTTACGTTTCGGAGGTCAAAATCTGCCTCCGTCTTGAACTTGAACTGAATCTGTATGAAAGTATCCATTACAACTCTAGTTTTTCTCTGATTGTTCAAGTTGGGAACCCCAGAAAATCAGATTAATCATCGAATGTATTCTTTAAGTCTCACCTCCTAGCTGCAGTTCGGCTGAAGCTTGCGCACTATCGCCTTCAGTTCTCTTCACCACACATTGATACATCCCTCGGTCCTCTCTTCCAATGTTGTTGATGATCAGTGTTTCGCTGGATCCCCTTCCGGTACTCGGGAGTTGTCTTCCATCTTTGTACCATGTCACCAAATGGGGACCGCCACTTTGTGCAGAAACCACACACCTATAATTCAAACAAAAACCCTTTGGTATATTTTTTTTGACATAAACAACATTTTCAAAACGGAAAGAGGGTCTGTATTCATTAACATAATATATTTCTACATAAACAACATATTTTCCAGATTGGGAGAGGAATGTTGCCCAGAGTCACCCAAAATAACAAATCATGTTGTTTTGTATATGGTGTTTCCTAACAATATTGTTATTTGAGATCATCAAATTGAAAATTTCGAAATGAAATGAAATATAACGAAACTTTAGTAAAGTTAGATTACAATACTAATCTGACAATACATAAATGAAACGACAAACATTTTAATAATTATGACTACGGTTTTCATGGCAAAAAACAACGTTTTTCTTGATATTGACGTTCGAATCATCAAACCTACACAAAGAAAACATTTTGTCTCATTCTGAGCCCATACAAATGAACCACAACTGAAAATTTTCGAGTTCTAAACAATTACATAGTGTTTTCGTGGGCGCAAATTGCGAAATAAATCACTCACGTTTAGTCATTCATTCTTCTTAGAAACACCTGCTAAACCTAGCTAATCCCGCTGAAGCTCGTAACTCACCTAAACTCGGCACTTCCTCCCATATGCACACTCAACAAAGGCGGGGAAATCTCCACGTGCAAAGCTGTGGAAACAATTAATCGCAATTCGACGCTCGACTCACCACCTGCGTTTGAAGCGGAACAGCGGTATACACCCCCTGCAACAAGAAGAATGTTATTCCTGGTAAATTTTGAGAGCTGAGATTATAACTTCGTCGACTAGTTTCTTTTCATTATTATTAGGTTGTTTCAAAAGTTTTGTCCGTTTCAGGGTCACGTGTTTTTGAGAAAAAAACACAAACACAACACGAAAATCCTCAAGTCGCTCTCAAGAAGTTTATTCCACATAAACGCAGTTCTCTAAATGAAAAAGTTTTTAAACAGTGAAATTCGAGGTGTACTGGGTTGAACCTCAAAACGATGAGCAGCCACAGTTCGTCGCGTATTTCTGATATGTACCGCACTTGGTGAAATCAAATATGTCAAGTCTCTTCAACACTTTCCGTGAAAGTATCTATAAAAGAGAGACTCATTTTTAACCTGTCTTCGATGTTCCAGACTTCAAACTACAAACTTCAAACTAAACTTTATCCAGAAATAGATGCTGGTGAAGTAGCTGCAGCAATTTTCTGTGAGCTTTCGAAGGTGTTAATCATGAATTATTACTCAAAAAACTTCACCGGTATGGCTGCAGAGGGGTGTCGTACAATTGGTTTGAATCGTACCTCTCAGGCCAAAGTCAAATGGTAAGAACATCGGAACTCTCAGAAAGCAGGGCGATCACATCTGGTGTGCCACAGGGTTCTGTGTTGGGTCCAGTTCTGTTCTTGTTGTATATTAATGATTTGTCTATGATAGATATATCTGGCAGCTTCACTCTATTCGCGGATGATACAACAATATTGTGGAAGGAAAAAAACCCAGCAGAGCTACATGAAAAGATATCATCTGATTTAGAAAAAGTAAAAAACTGGTATGATGCTAATTTATTATCCTTGAATATCTCCAAAACAAATATAATAACATTTTAATGTCTGCTAAAAGAACTGTTAATAGACAATGATATCTTGGATAACAAATTGAACACAAAATTTCTAGGTGTCTATATTGATAATAGGCTCAAATTTGATGAACACGTCAACTCAAGAGTAAAATCTCCTCCGGTTGTTATGCAGTGAGAGTGGTTTCAAAGGAACTGAACTTCAGTATTGCGAAAATCGCCTACTATTCTTTAATTGACGCCCATCTTCGATATGGCATACCATTTTGGGGAGCATACAATGCAACCCTCCTCTCATCTGTGTTGATATTACAGAAAAGGACAGTAAGGTGTCTCTGTAAAGTCAAACCTAGGGAATCATGCAGAAATTGTTTTGCGGCCAATAAGATTTTAACCGTCGTTGCACTGTTCACTCTTGAAACTGTATGTTTGGTGCACAAACATAAAACGGAGTTTGACTTTATTTCGCCTCCTTATGTTACTCGTAATAGCATATTTAATATTAGACTTCCTGAAACAAACTCAACATTAATCAAGGATTCCATTTTTTATAATGGTGGAAAATTATTCAATCACTTATCAGTAGATATAAAGTCTTCAAATCTGAAAAACGTACAATTCAAGAAAGCAGTTAGAGATTTGCTAGCTGATAGACCCTATTATAGCTTGCAAGAGTATTTCAATGAATAATTTTAAAACCTGTATTCCATTTTATATTTATTCTTACTGTATTTGTACCTGTTTTATTCAAACCTTTATTAATTTCTAGTTTTTATTTATACACCATTAGTTATGCTTATATTAATACCTACAAATCTTTGTCGATGGGATACAAAATCTACTGACAATAAAGTATATTTTGATTTGATTTTGATTTGATTTAATCAAGGTTGCAAACGATGTTCGCGTCTCTAATCAGGCGGATGGCTCTTTTCTGGATTGAATCCAGCGGCTTCAGGGTATGCTTTGTGGCGTAGCTCTATACTTGAGAACAATACTCCACAGATGGTCTGATCTTAGCTTTATAAAGCATCAGAAGTTGCGGAGGTGGGTTCAGTTTTCTGGTTCGGAACAGTGTTTTAAGATATTGAGGGGTAGCCTTTGCAAACCCAGCGACATGTTAACCTTCAACAAACTTATCGAAGGAGATGGGTCCTGACAATATCATATCCGATTCGGAAACATTCATCTTTTCGGAGAAAACCAATGCCTGGGTTTCTGTGGAATTGAATTGAATCTGGTTACTTTCACCCCAATTCGAAATCACTTTTAGATCCTCATTAAAATATGCAACCTCCTGATGGCGGTGAAGATATGCATCTGCAGTTGATGATTTGGAATCAAAACGGAATGACGAGACAAGTGTGCTGTCGTTAGCAAAGCCATATATTGAATTCTGGATTTTTCCAATGGGTCGTTGATATACAATGAAACGAGGGTTGGATCCCTAGGGAATACCAGCGTTGATAAGAAAGTATTCGAGAGATATTCATCAACGACTACTTGCACGGGAAGTTCTTTCAGGAAGCTGCAGAGCCATACACAAAAATGATCCGACAAGCCATATCATCGTAATTTGGTCAACAAACCCTCATGCTACACACGGTCAAAGGCCTTAGAGCCAAACGTAATAGCTCTTGACTCTCCATGTTTCTCGATTGCATTATTCCAAATATGGGTGACATCAGATATTAAATTCTTGAATGAATCAAACTGAAATATATCATTGTCAGATATTTGATGAATACGAACTATGCTAATTCATATAGAATTACAATTACCAAAGATTTTTTTTTCTGGTGCTTTGGACGTGTTGGGATCATGTGAGAGAATGAATAAATGAATGAACGAATGAAAGTTTATTGACTACCTTACATTACATAATGTTTGTAATAAGTCCAAATAATATCTAAAAAGAGTACAACACATAGAGAAACAAAATGAGATAAAATGTAGTACACTACTACTAGCTATTGTAAAATGTCGCAGTGGCGAGTGCATTCCATAGAAATACACTAGCGATGTCGAAAATGCTCCATGAAATCACTGACAGAATAAAAGCAATTAGTTAATAAAAATTCTTTTAAGCGCTTCTCGAATTTATTATTTGATAGGATTTTGTATTCCTGCGGTAACAGGTTGTAAAGATTATAATTTAGAGAGTTTTTCTGTGATTTGGTTAAGCGAAAACGATCAGTACGAATATTGCCTGCAGCTCTGGTATAATGATTATGAATATCGGATTGTTTGAGCAGACACATTCGTTTTTTGTGGATCTCGAGCAGAACCGAGAAAATGAATAATGAAGGCAAAGGCAATATGCGTAATTATGCAAAAAGGGGCTGGCAGTGATCACGAAAACTCACATTGGCAAGTATCCTGCTTGCTTTTTTTTGAAGTCGGAAAATATCTACAGCACTAGAGGTGTTCCCCCAGAGTACAATCCCATGAGTAATGACAGAGTGAAATAATGAAAAATATACATTTTTGAGTGTTGGAAAACTTGTAATTGGCTTCAGTTGACGGAGCAAAAAAATTAAGCTGGCCAATTTACCTCGTGGGTCATCCGTATGATTTCGCCAAGATAATTTACTATCTATGTTTATGCCTAACAATTCCACACTGTTATCACTCGACATAGTGCTAGACAAACAAAAGGTGAGATTCTTTGTTTTTTCATTATTTAGTTTTAGTTTATTTAATGAAAACCACGTTTCAGCACTTGAGAGTGAAATTTTTACAGACTGTTGCAAATCCAGCAAGGTGTCACCTGAAAAGATGAGCGTAGTATCGTCAGCAAATAAAACTGACTTATAGGGATGTAAAAAATTAGGTAGATCATTGATGTAAATGATGAACAATAGAGGGCCGAGGACTGAGCCTGTTCCACAGAAATACATCCACAATTACAGTCATTTTTTCAATACCAAACTCTATTGATGAAAACATAAAAAGAAACAGTAAAACTAGAAACCAATATTTCGATACATTTTTTAAACCTCACAATTTCAAAAATCAACCACAAATATGATACAACTATCAGTAACCATTCTGATCATTCTCATCAACATACATCAGTAGCTTACAATAGTATGATCCACAGACAGAAATCAAATTTGATAATGCAATTTGCAGTAAACAACAACCTCAACCCGAACATGATTCATAACATTCTTGACAAAAAACACATATACAGGATAATCAATACATAAAATGAAAAGAGTACTGATGAAAGAAAACATTTTGATAATTTATGGTTACCCTCTCTTCAGAGGGTAATCACAATTTATTATTGTTATTTATGTTTCTTATGTCGTGGTACCATCACTGTTAATTGTCTTTTCATTTCTGTATGTTCGCGTGCATTATGGAGTGGTGCTTGTTGATTGAGTTAAAGTAGCTTTGAGCCAATGAGAACCAGAATCTCCTGTAACTTATTTTCATTTTCAAATATATCTTTGTTTTTTTTTTCTGTATTATCAATGAAGCCCATTCATTATCGTAATTATGTAGAAGCCTTCCAAATTTGCAAATTTTTTCTTGTTTCTCTCCAGCTCTTTACTATATGATGTCGTAGAGCAATTTTTGGCCAATTTTTCTCTACTTATCCAAATTGAATCAAATCGTTGCCGAATTAGCTCGAGAAATCAACCAGGAATTTGGCAATGATAGTGGTAATGAAATCACTGTTTGATGTTGATTTGCGAAATTTCGTTCCGGCGATTTTAGTCTCGAGGATGAGCTCCAAAGTGGTCGACCTACAGAAATAGTGCATGGGGATTTGATGACCCTTGTGGAGACTGACTCATCACAAATGGTGCGTGGAATGATGTAGGAACTGGACCTCAGCTCTTATGCGGTTTTGATGGCTTGAAACAAATCAGCTCGAAAAGTTGGCACGCTACGATCAGAACGATCGACAGAAATTGTTATATTTCGAATTCTGTTCTTCTTTGCTTTTGCGCAACCAAAACGATCTTTTTCGGATCGGATCATCACTTGTGATGAAAAGTGGATCCTCTACGACAACAAGAGACGTTCGGGACAGTGGTTAGAAAACGATGAGCCACCCAGGCACTTCTCGAAGGCAAAAACCCACCAAAAAATGACCATCTTCACTGTATAGTGGGTCAGCGGCTGGTGTGCTTCACTAGAACTTTCTGCAACCGGGCCAAATCATCACAGCAGGGTCGTATTGTGAGGAAATCGAAGATAGCGTAAGCAGCAGCCGTCACTGGCCAACAGAAGGGGACCAAACCTACTTCACCACACGAAAATCAAACGAATTGAGCGTTAAAGATTGGCATCACCCACCATAGTCTCCAGACCTGTTGCTAACCGACTGCTCCATCTTTTCGAGCACTTTCTCACCGGTGGAACTTTCGCCAATCAGGACCAGGCATAAACGGACTTCATCGAATTCCGAGTACAAAATTTTTATGCTGACGGAGTTAGTTGACGATCATTTTGATTGAATTGAATGGAAATTCACTGGGATATTGCAGAATGATTAAGGCTTTAGTGACCGAGTTATCTGCAGATTACTCACGATGTACAAACCTCTAAACTAGAGAAACTGGCCACTTGTACCAGCGAAACATCGGGAAAAAATCCAAGAATCGACGGCCTTAAAACTCGAAAAAATTGACACTGACAGACCCATAAAAACGAATACAACTTTTGAAACTACCTAGGTTGTTAAAAAATATATAGAAATATTCACTAGCTACATAATGGCATAATTCCTTTCAATAAATTTCATTACATCTATTCTTTATTTTCCTAAATATTCTAATAACGCATAACTTTTTTAATTATAGGTATATTCAAACAACTGTTCTATTGCCTATCCTGTATGAATTCGATGTTACCTATAGAAAGTACATTTTCAAATCAGCTCAGCAAGATGACTTCGAAATTCAAAAAATAAACATGTCGTTCCATTTATAGAGAACGATGATGACGTTATTTTAAAAATACTGATAATGAATTTATCCATGTATGGGAGAGTGTTCCACAATCAGACACAAAATAGGTTTTGCTAAATATTAACCTTATTTATTGAACAAACGAAAATATGGTTGTCACTAATACAAATTAGGGCTGTGCATAAGGTTCTATGGTAGAACATACATCATAAACCAAAAAAATTATTCAAAAAATGTTTGTTTAAAAATGAAAGGACAGTTGTCTGATTGTGGTACATACATGTTCCACATCCAGACACGGCATGTTCCTCAATAAGACAAAAGTTTTAGTACTGTTTTAACGAACTTCTAAGGGTGAAAAATCAACTCAAAACTTCAAATATGATTGTTGCCGTTTTTTTGTTCCCACGTGTGCTGGTTTTAGTAACACCATCTCAATGTTTTCCAAGCATACCAGAGAGACGTCTTCTATTTCGGGGTAAATGAAGCTGTTATCATATTTAACGGATATTCTCAGAAATTTAACCTAACATTCCTTATCTCTTTTACATAATACTTCAGCTATGTAATAATTTTTTTTCTTTTTGTCTGTAAATTCTATCAAAATGAAATCGGCAACTTCTGACTCTTTATTAAGCTTGTCTAGAAGAGGTGGTGGATCGATTTCTCCTACATAAATCAATATCATCATCAGAATCTTCAGTTACAAGCATCGCCGCGTTCCCATTTCTTCGTCTGTTGAGTCTTCATCGAATCCTACTTTTCTGTTCATGATATTTTTCTTCTTCAAGCTATTTTTTTCTTTCTCTCTCTATCTGTTAAGTTTCCAGGGCAATCTTTTCTGGAGTGTCGGTGGCGATATTACTTTTAGCTTTTTTTTTCTCTTCTTTCTCTGATTCGTTCGTTCTTCAGCTTTTGGGTATCCTTTGAATTCTTGCGGACTTACAAAAGTTTCTGTGTTTTGATTTTGTGTGGGAGTTATGTGTGATGCTGAAAGTGAGTAGACTGACATAATATTTTCTTCAATACAGCTTGATGTTGATGGTTGATATGTGGTCGGGCTTCTTCGTTGTTTTGATCCACATTCCTATCAGTTACGCTACTAATTGCAAAGTCGTCATCTGTAAATATGAATTTATCGAAAGGTTAAATCGGTTTTTCTAACACATAATTAACACAGTCAGCTATATCAAAAATTCAAACGGGTATCCCAGGGTGTTCTAAAAGCCAAGTTTGTAAGACAGTATTGTAGAATGATTTGAACGAAAAAACACAGAGACATCTAACGGTTGCATCTTGTTGGAAGTATGCGGTGGTAAGGTCAAAATGATCACTCCATTTTCCTTTGCTAGATGTATTCCTTCTATCGTCAGATGACTCTCGTGATTGTCAAAAATCAGGAGGAAAAGGTTTTCTTTTGTGCTGGACGTATGTTCAATGAAGTGCCTCACAACGCTTGGAAACAATTCACGAGTCATCCCTCCAGAGTCGGAAACCAATCCCAAAATACCATATGGTGCTCCATAAGTCACTTTTTTAATAACACGAATTATATTCCACAATCAGACAGCGTCTGATTGTGGAACACAGATGCTGTCTGAAGGTGGAACTTAAACAGTAATACAAAATCAAATTCAACTGTGAACTCCATACATAACATACAAAAGTAAACTCGCTCATAAAATGTCAATAAAATAGCCCAAAATGTGATCAACAGATTGTTTTGTACTACTAGTTCCAAAAGAAAAACTAAGGCTCATAATATCAAATCAAGGATAAAAAAACTTACACAGGAAAACAAGTTTTTTTTTGAAAAATGCTCAAATCCAAAAGAAAAGCGTTACAACTTTGTTTACCAAAACTGCGTGTGTAACCCTACTATCCGAACGAGAAACATCGAACTCGCGGCTGGAATTTCAAAATTACATGCTTTGTCTGATTGTGAAACATGTCTGATCGTGGAACATTCTCCCCTATGCATTATGAAAAGTAACTCACCGTCTTCCGCTGTTACCGCCTCTATTGCTAGGACAGGTCCTAATTGGCGAACTCTTGGTCCAGGCATAATCAGACTTGGCTCCAAACCGGCGTGATTATACCACCTGGAAACGAAGTGAAGAAGTATGCGATTTCAGTGATACACAGAATGGTGATACAAAATTGGATGACTTTTTGCTCAAGTTCACATTTATTCAGTATTTTCAAATAATTTTTAAAGAACGATAGAACGGATATCCAACGAATTTTCATTCTTCAAAAAAGAATCGTACGGCGCATTTACAATATTTCCTACCAGATTTCCTGCAGAGAAACCTTTAAAAACAGTCACGTGTATATGTATACCTCATGAAGCTATTCACATATACTTTCATAAACAGGGAAAACCTCATCAAACATAGTGACAAGCATGATTGTAACACCAGAAATAAAGATAATTTATGGATAAGTAAATGTATACATTCAATTTATAAAAAATCGCCAATTGTGGCAGGTATCTATTTCTACAATGAATTACCCACGTTATTAAAAAAAAAAATTAATTCCCTGAGGATTTTCAAGAGTAAGCTGAGAGAGCTTCTGATAGCAGAATGCTTCTATGATTTTAATGAATTCGCAACTCATCTTGAAGACTGAAAGAGCTGGTTATTCTCTCATACAATCCGTTTTTGATTTGTTTTCATGTTTATTGCTTTTTTTTTCTATTTTTTATGTATGTATTTCTACGTTTATGTGATTTTACAATGTGAATTTTTTTCTTTATTTGAAGACTCGTCTAATCTGTTGATGTTAACAGGAAAAATTCTCAATAAAATTTTAATTTAAATTTGAATTTGATTGATACATGTGAATCATTCGGAAAATTGGTTTTGGTGATTGAAAACGAAAGACATTTTGTCTTATCGGAATTAATCGTGAATATTTTGAGAAACTCTTTATCGACTCAACCAAACAACTGTTGTCAATTTTCGCCAGAATAGAAGATTGCGGTGTCATCCGAGAAGCTGACTATGTGGCCTTCTGTATCAACATTGTATAAATCATTTAGGTATATGTTGAATAAAATGGGGCCCAGTACTGTACCTTGTGGGACTCCAAATTCCACAGTTTCAAAGTGACTGAGTCTGCCGTCATTTTTACGCATTGCTTTCTTCTTTCTAGATAACATTTCATCAGTTTATATATATTGCCTCTCAACCCTGCACTTTCAATGGTTTTCAGGAGTTTCTGGTGACACAGTGTATCAAAAACTTTTGCTAGATCAACGAATATGCACAATGAGGGGTGACTTTTTCCAAGCGTTTGATATATTTTTGTAGTCAATGATTCAATTGCATCATCAGTGGATCTAGACTCCTGGAACCCATATTGGTACGGGAGATGAATCTTATATTCTCAGTCAGCCCTTTGCACCCAATATACACTCTTGAGAGATTTCGTGTTGACTGATTTTGGATATTACTGTGAAATGAAATAATCAGAGTTGACAGCTGTCATTCTGACAGATTTTTTCAAGTTAGATCTCAATACCTTAATTTCTTCAATTTTGAAACAAATCCAAACAGTCTTACCGTTTCACATTCTACTTCATATCTTGCTTCATTTATCTTTCCTGGATTGCATTGTACTTAAAGAAAAGATTGAATGAAGAAGTAGAACTCCAAACAATTTCTTCAGAAGTAAATGAGAAAACAAACTGATTTTTTTTTCAATAACCAAAGCAAAAGAATGATAAAATGTAAATCAGTTAACAGAATTCAGTTTATAAAAATAGAAGAAGAAAAAAACCTGCTGCTTCGTTTCCTCCTGCTCATAAAATAGGACATGCCTTCTCACTCACAAGGGATTTTGGTGACATTGGGGACCTATGTGAATCTTTGTATTCATTCCATGTCTGCAATATTATGTGTAATGCCCGTTGTAAGTAGTCCCACTATGATTCGAAAGTGTTTATAGATTATAACGACCAGGAGTCAAACTGTCTGCTGCAAAATTGCTCATATCTGATCCTTTTGAAGAAAAGTCAATGCAACATTCAATTTGCCTCGGAATCTTTTCGTTGGAGAGAATATTTCCAAATTAATCACTAAAGTACGGGGAAACTTATGGATTTATAAGGACTTTGTACATTTACTTCTTTGCTTGCATCTCGAACACGTTGGTTTTCCACCTCGATCCAGAGTTTCCTCTCTTCTGAAGGAATCCAGGCATTGTGATCAATTCAATTGACCAGTTCTTCATGGTATGGGGAGAGACAAGTCCCAGGAAGAATCGAAGGTTACTGTGAGTGTGCACAGTGTGTGCATGTCATAGTGAATTTTATTTGACCAACAAAATCATCTACAATTTTAGAGTTATTCATGTTCAAATACCTCAGCCAGGACTCGTGCGCTTTTCCGCTTTCGCTCAATTTTTCGCCAATCTCCGTTAAGATTGGTTTAGGTTTCTCAGTAATTCGATTGAGGTCGTCATGTAAACCTTCTGAAAGATATCGAAGGAATTCCTGGGCATCTTTATGAGCAGATCCCATGAATCGAGGAGCAGATCTTTGAATCTGACTTCAAAGAGGAAATAAATTCCTCCACAACGTTTCTACACAGTGGGATTTGGCTGCCGAAAAACATCTGTCTGTTTAAAATCTGTTTAAAATCTGTTTTTCCGTTAATCAGCTGCCGACCCCATACGAACGACAACTCTCAGAAGTTGAGAAACTTGTGCGAGCTAAGGACTAACGAGGTCTTACCTTTTAACGTGTGATTCCTACTTTCATAATTAATACTACGACATTTGTGAACGTTTTTCCAGTGAAAGTTCTTGTATGACCAACGCAGCAGGACATTTCTCAGAAGAAATTTTAACAGAAATCAGATAAGTCAACTCTGTCGAGAAGATATGCATATGTTTGTATTGGGAGGAGATGCACACGTATGTATCTTATTCAATTTGAAAAAGGGACGATAAACTTGAATTCCAAATAAAATTTGATTCATTCTCTAGCCTGATATTTGTTCTTTGAAGCGTTATATCATGCAGTAAAATTGTAGTTTTTATATTACCAGTTATATCCGTGATACAAAGCATCCGGATAGACATCAGTGAGATCATTACAAAAGCCATCCAATTAAACAAGGTTTAATAACTTATCAAAAACTGATGAAATACAGTTTGTTGTCATGGCAACGTGCTGCGTCACTGACTTCCTGCCAGTAATGACCCAACGATGTAAATAACGTATAAAATGAACTTTGATGCCCGAATAAAGGACAAAGCTTTGTGACGAACTCCATTCGGTGTAATTAAAAATTCTCGTTCGAATAATCCCAACGATGTAAATCACATCGGACCGAAGAAAACAAGGAGGATAATGAACAGAGCGAAGGTGATTGGTATTTGATTGAAGAAAAGGGTGAATATCATCTCAAAGAATCTTTTTTGTCAGGTAATGTTATATCTGTCCGACGTTAGTAGAGAAAAATCATTAGTGACGAGAACATCAGCACCTTTATAATATGGAACCATTTGAATGCAGAACTAAACACTTTCCTGAAGCACATCAACAACGTAAGTCCTTCCCTCACTTTCACAATAGAGAAGGAAGTCCACAACGAATTGCCATTCTTAGACTTATTGGTGAAGAGGACCGACACTAAATGGGAAACATCTGTATATTGAAAATCCACTCACACGGGACATTATCTGAACTAGGAATACAACCACCATCAATCGACTAAGAGAGGAATTATCAATACTCAACTAGACTGTGCTTTCGGGCTCTGCAATATGAATATGAATATGAAGTCTCGAACAGAAACTAGGAATCATAAAAAATGAATTTCAACGAAATGGTTACTCCAGAGTGATGGTAGAGCAGGCTTTAGCTAGAAGACAGCAAGAGCTTCAGATCGGGGAACACTATCCGTAGCGGTCTCATGAAAACCAGGCCACCAAACGCGGACTGTGATTACAAAAATCGCATTTACCGGATATCCTGCGAGTACGGAGAATCATACATCGGTGAAACTAAGAGGCCATTGAGAGTTCGCATTGCCAACAAAGGAACACACAGCGAGGAGAAACCATCAAATCAGGAATAGCAGAGCACGTTTGAACTCATCAACATAACATGAAGTGGGCTCAAGCTGAGATCATCCACAAGGAGGAACCCTGGTTCAGGGTTAATTCAAAGAAGCCTCATATACGTTGTCCAACAACGCATTTAGCCAAGCTAGCATAGAGATACGTAACATATGGAAACCTGTAATCAAGCGGAACACGACCAACTCCCGCCAAACGATCAGCTCCCGGTAAAAAAAACCAATGAAACGGTCAGAGGAAAGAGGGGATAGGTGAAAGAAGGTCGAATGACCTATAAATAGAGAGATCTCGAATTCTTGTTAATAATATTTTAATTTTTTTAGCTCGTGTTGATAGTTCAATTTTTTTGATTTCTTTGGTTGTTGCTTGTATGTTATTTTATTTTGATATCAGTTTTTTGCTTGAAAAAATTGTTTCATCAGCTATTTTTCATTTTTTTTTGTACGATATTCGCCCACACGGAGTTGAAAACTCCACGACGCGTCTCGTCTTACTCTGATAGTCGAGAAGAACTACATCAGGCTTGTTATTGATAAATTTGGCACCAGTCTTTCTCCACAACCGAGTGCATTTTGGTCTCTGGCGTATCGCGACAGGCTCTATACCTGGTGTCAGGAAACTCTATACCTATCACACGAGTTGGATAACTAGGAGTGAGGTGTTGGAGAAACCATTGAGTTTCCTCAGTTTCCAACTGCAGACTTGACCTGAGCAAATCAAATATTAGGTGCATTTTTACTTGTGATGCACTGTTTGGAACCTTCAGTGTAGTAATGAATATTACTGGAGTTTTCCCCCAACACCAAACCGTTATTTTAACACCTCGACACGTATTTCGATCGAAAGGAAGATTAAACTCTTCTTGGAGATGGTCACTTGTTTAATCACAGTTTAATCTTCTTCTTGACCGAAACACGTGTCAAGGTGTTAAAATAACGGTTTAGTGTTAGGAAAAGACTCTAGTAATAGTCATTAGGTGCATTGATGAACCAAGCTCTTCGAAGTTGTTAAAGAAGACCCCATGCATTGGCTCAATCTTGTGTTGGTACAGAAGTGAAATTTTCTCTGTAGTCTGTGAAATGATCTCTGTTATCAAATCGTTGACAGAGTTGTGGTTATTTTGTTTTTGAGTTTTCTCCTCAAGGTAAATTTATCAACTGGTATGCTGGTATCTCTTTCAATTTTTGATTCAGACACTCAACGGCATTCCACTATCAAACACTGTCAGATTATTCTCTAGGTCACACATGAACGTGTTTGTTTTCCAGTATATACCGTGTTGTAAAAACACACCCGGGTTGTAGGACGAATTGCCGTAAGCTGAATATTTTTCATGGCGATACACAAGCACTGCATTGATTCCTATGGAACGTTATGAGAGCAATGTCTTCACGGAAGTACAGTTGCAGTCGTTGCAGATGACGTCTACTCGGAAACACTACAAGGGGAAATTTATCCAACGAAGACATCGTTCTGTAAATTCAAAAATTTTGAAGAGTGTCGGTCGTGTAGTGTAGGCATGTCAAGTTGAGCCCCGAAACGAAATATAGTTATATTTTGCCTTTCTCCGATGTCCCAATCAATAAAGGTTGCTCCACAGCCTTCAATCAAGCAAACGGCTCAATTCTGATCAGAATCTAGCAGCCGCAAGTATGCTTAGGGTCGGCGCTCCATATATATGGGCAATATATCAAAAACAATGTTATTCGGGCTTCAAGAATGACTGAAATCCACTGAAGTGTATTAAACTTTCCAGATCGAAATAATGTTCCAAGTTTATGAGAAGCTGACTTTGCTTATGTGATTATTTCATGAAGTATCAATATCCAATTCGACTTCCAAAAAATCATGATGTTGGTTTCATAATATTCATTTCCTTAGAGGAAGCTGATGCCTAAATTTTTGTAATATCATGATCTACTTGGTTTCTATCACTACAATTTTTTTCCACCGCCAAATATGTAGCTGATGGTCGGGCATTCAGATGAGAGGAGCGAATGTCCTTTTTCGATTGATCATTGAAGTATAATGAAAAAAATTTTTATATACAAAATGGAACCCTTGGTAACAGCAACGTTGTTGGTGAGTTATCCGAAAAATTAACATCGGTGGCTACTTGTAAGCAATGTTTATTGAGAAAGCTGGGAAGATATGAACAGAGGCGATCCGATAAGCATTATTATTGAATTTTAATAATCAAACTCACATGTCAGGCACGCTCAAAGACCTTGGAAATATCAAGGACAATATCCCGAGATTTACCTTTTTTTCCGATTACATTGCTTCATAAGTGGGTAGTGTGAGAATATCGCCAAATCAGTAGATATTCAAGAATGTGTTGGCTAACAGCTTCATATATGATTTTCAATATCAGTGAAAGTAAAGCAACTGATCAATAGTTAGTTGGGACAAATATCTAGTCCTTTCTGGGTATGAGTTGTGCTTGAGCAGTCTTCTGATAAGAAAAAAATTTGGAGCCAACAGAATGCTTGTGCAAGTTCGTTGGTCTACCAACAGAAGCAACACTAGGACCAGATGCTTCTTTGATGATGAGTTGTTTCGGTGTTCGTGTAGTAATGATAATATTTAATTCAAGAGTTCTGACTAATGCCAATATAAAATCATTGAAACATATGCATGTTCTGTTATGAATTTCCACTTGAAAAAGAACCTCTAAGTGAGTTACTGTCGATAATTTCTAGTATATTGATATTTGTATTGAAAGCCGGAGCATACCGTGATTGTGTCATCGGCGAAAATGTTGAATTCTGCATGGATAGGATAAAGAATAAAGATTTGGAATGGTGTACGACCCTACCTGTATTCGGGTGCTGGGCATCCATGCGCTATACATATTAATGCTGCTCCCTCGTCTTGCGATACGGTGACTGCTCCTGAATTTTCCACAATGACTGGCGGTACGATGCCTCGATGTTCTGGAAAAACAAAGGAAAATATCATTTTCTCCACAGGGTAAAAAGTGTTGAATGAATTCGAATGTGGGTCAACAATAAAAATAACAAATCCAATGCAATGTAATGCAATTCCTGAATGTTCTGCTGGTTTGACCAACATATACCTTGGGACAAGTTTCACGATTCAATTCATATACTACTCCTGATTTGCCAAATTTGGATGTTGGAATTGTTCTTTTAGATAAGTTGATTCACAGCCAGTATTTAACTATGCCCCCTTACTATATGTGAAATCTCCAATTTGTCTTACCTGTTATTCTAACATTCGCAGGACTGCTGACCACAACCTGCCGACTGAGGCGATGCATTGTCCTGCAGCGGTACGTCGGAAACTGGTCGCTGAACTCTAGGTTATGGATGAGCAGCTCTCCCGAGGGAAGTTGATGGAACTTTCCGTCTGAAACGTGAGGCAGTTAATTTCCGCCGGGTGACATTTCACAGGTTTGCAATACAGGGCGACTTCCATTCCATCATTAATAAGAAGATAAATTTGTATGTTATTTGTTAATAATAAAATTTATACTTATTAACAAAATTTCCACATACAATTCCATAATAGTAGGCACTGAATTCTTAGAAATGTTATTGCATTATCACCATTTTTTCACCGTTACCACCATTTTTTCTCATCTGTTTAGTATAGTTTCCGTACACCACTGCAGGAGGCAGTCATTTCTGAGAATTTACCACCTACTATTTTAGAATTATAGTTTACAAATATCAAACGTTACGTTTCCGCCACAGATGGCGTTGTGTGATGAATTAGTTCATACTAATGTACTAATGTAATCAGGTTGGTTGCAACCAGAGACACAGGTCTTCTGTTTTTATTCGCAGCTTCTCATACAACGCAGCTAAATTCTACAATCTCCTGCCCAGTGAATTCAGATCCTACACGTTAAAAAACTTCAAAAAAAACTCGAAGATCATTTATTTGAGTAGTTCACTTTCTTCATGCTGACCCTGGCTTATGCGTTTACACAAAAGATTTGGTGACTGAATAATAATAATTTTTTGAAAATGTATGTATGTATGTACTGTAATTTTTTTATTAATTTCGATTTTTTTTTTATGATTGAGTTCAAAAACAGCTTTGCTGACACGTCAATATTTTTTTTGTATAATCTATATGTTCTTACTTCAGGTGAATAAAGACTTTTATTATTATTATTTTTTTCAACCGCAGTTTGCGCTGGTCAGGCCCCGATACATCCGGGACGGCGCGCCAGCATTATCAATCAATGACCACTCCCCACAACGTGGGGAGTTAGTGATCATTGGGTCCAAGAATCGTGCCCTGAGCAAGCGCAGTGAGCCAAGAATGACAGCCTTCTGCATCTGTCCGGCTAAGATTTCTGCCTTAGTGCGGCAAGCCGGTATGATTTTAAGATTCGAGAGTAGAGAGGGCATCATTCCACCAAGGACTCCAATAACCAGAACAACCATCTTGACAGAGTAGTCTGAAAACTCTATGACAAATATCGTTTTGCTCTAGTAGTCGAGATGGACCACATCAGGCTTATCAGCTTGTATGAGCCTGAGGGTGGGAAACGAATAGTTCCAATAAATTTGGCACTTCTCGCGTTCCTCACAACGGATTCAATATCTCCCGGAGCGTAGGGCGACACCTGTGTCTCGTAAGGGTGCCATAGATGGTAATATAGAACTCTTAGGGTCGCGTTATGTCGATGGATATAGGCTGACACCGCATATGCTGGACATGCTGATAGCAAGTGCTTTAGGGTCTTGGGCGCCTTGCGGCAGGCCCAGCAACTCGTGCCAGAAACCTCATACCCATCACGCGCCTCCGGTAGAGTAAGGTGTTGAAGACACCATCCTGGCAAGCCACGATGAACCCTTTAGTTTCCGACTTCAGCCCACTCAACCTGAGTAAAGCAAAAGTCAGGCGCTTTGATAAGCCAAGGTCTCAATGTTATTGAAGAAAACCCCATGCATTGGCTTTTACTTGTGTTTCCGCATAAGTGAGTGATCTCTGCCGCTTCTATATGAGCTTTTGGCTGAACGGGTTCCAAGTCGGTGACAAGGTTTATTCTGGTTCAAACATCCGAAACTGTTTGGAAACTGCGCAAGACATGATGCGTACAAACAAAAAATCTTAAACAGTCCGAAATAGTCTCGGACACTTGTTTAACCCAGAACGCTTTTGAGGAGACCACTGTGCCACCTATCGTATATATGAAGAGATGAAGACGAGAAAATACTATTGACCATGTTCATTTTGTTATGTAACGTATCCTTATAGTCAGTTCAAATGTTATCTTTTTAAAAATCTGTTTAAAATCTGTTTTTTTAAATAGATAACATTTGAACTGACTATAAGGATACGTTACTACCGTCAATCATCAGTTATTCAAATCAAATAATTAAAACAACATCCTAGCAAATAGCCCAAACAAATTTCCACATGAATGCGCATGAGCAACGGGAACAGTTCTCAACAGTTCAGCCTCGAGAGCAAGAACGATTCGGGACGGTTCGAAACAGTTTAGGATCATTTCGCAGTTGAAACCAGAACAGAGGATTCATCAGTTCGAAATTATCCTCAATAAACCAGAACGCTCTATATCAACTGCGCATGATCCTGACGTCCTAGAACCCGAATTTCGTAGAACCAGAACAAACCTACAGAGTTGTGGTCACCTCGTTCAGTGTCGAAAACTAAACCGAGTTCATCAGCTGATCGGGCAGCTGCCCTAAAGAGGAATGCTCCAATTTCAGCTCTCTCATGGTCACGGACCATGTAGAGAAGGGGATCCGAACTCCTGACGACTTTACAGGCTATATCCAGTACCATTCTGTCATGTAGACACTCCAAACTCCTTATTATCATCATCATTATGATTATTATTATTATTATATCTTTTATTGCTCTCAAGTATCCTTCACTGAATGTTCCAGATCTCAGAAAAAATGTGGTACAGACGAAAATAAACAGTTATATTCTTTCCATGAGTTAGTTCTTCGATGCCCATTTTCTTCTTGTCAGATGACACTAGCTTATCCCTTACGGAGAATATTAAAGAAATCAAACCTTCTACAGACCAGCACTGGGCATTCGCAAAACATATTAATTTCTTTCCGTTTATCTTTGTCATGACATTTCGTATCGGTGATACCGGAAGTCATTCATCACATTGCTTTCCGAAAGCACACATGTTCTAAGTTAGAGTGAGGGATCCTGTGTCTTTTTCGCGATGACTCCGTTACTTTTTCCTGAATAGTTTTATCTAAAGAAATGAACTTTAAATGTTCAAGCCAGTCTCGGATATACCTACACAGTAGGTTGAATGAACTGACGCCTATCAGAAAACAACTACTCTCCTGGCTAATACCACGAACGGCGTTGGATTATATCCGACAGGCGTCAGTGCAGGAATCTTAAAAGAAAATTTCCTGCATATGCAATTGGCAATGCAACTGAAAGAGTCGACCCTCAATTTTGGAACGCCGTTCGTGGTATTAGCCAGGGGAGTAGTTGTTTTCTGAACATTTACAGTTCATTTCTTCAGATTTGTTTACTGCCTCTTCGAGCATAGCCCAGTGACTAATAAGAAAAAAAACTGAATAGTTTTTTTGAACTTGTTGTTTCTGCGACTCTTACGTCAATAGTGAAGCATCAGGTCTACATGATAACATAGGCTTTCCCGACGGGAATCACGTTCAAAGGAGAGAGAATCTGGGCTGGTGAGTCGTGTTCGAATGGAATTTGTTTCGTCTGCTACTGCGGCAGATATCGTCAGTGATATATGCATTGACTACAAGGATGAAGGTAATATATCGAAGTCTTAGCAATGAATGACTTGAATTGACTTGGAATCATTATGGTCCGAGGAGCAAGGATATTGGCTATTCCTAAACCTCATCAAATGTTCATACATAAAGAAGGTTGAAACCAGAAGATATCGTAATGACATTCCTAAACGTCTCTGAGGTGTTCGACAGAGTCTGACACGATGCACTCGTGGCCAAAATGACTAACTTTGGCCCTTTCTGAAAACAAGAGTCCCTTGTTGTTTCTGCGACTCTTACGTCAATAGTGAAGCATCAGGTCTACATGATAACATAGGCTTTCCCGACGGGAATCACGTTCAAAGGAGAGAGAATCTGGGCTGGTGAGTCGTGTTCGAATGGAATTTGTTTCGTCTGCTACTGCGGCAGATATCGTCAGTGATATATGCATTGACTACAAGGATGAAGGTAATATATCGAAGTCTTAGCAATGAATGACTTGAATTGACTTGGAATCATTATGGTCCGAGGAGCAAGGATATTGGCTATTCCTAAACCTCATCAAATGTTCATACATAAAGAAGGTTGAAACCAGAAGATATCGTAATGACATTCCTAAACGTCTCTGAGGTGTTCGACAGAGTCTGACACGATGCACTCGTGGCCAAAATGACTAACTTTGGCCCTTTCTGAAAACAAGAGTCCCACAAGGCGTGTTTATTTCTTCTTTACGAACTTGTCTCTTCGTAGAGAGATAATTTCAACAAGTTGTCTCTCTACAAGAATAACACAGCTCTGCTAGCAATATCTACCAAATAGGAGCTAGGTACCTATAGAATACTTGCAACAACAAGCGGAAAGAATAAGGGAATGGGTCAACCACTGAAAAAGTCGTATCAACCCTGACAAAACTTCGAGCAATACCATTCACCTGGAGAAAAGTGAACCCGGTAAACCAGAAAATTCTTTGGACAAACAAAGCAAGATATTGAGGAGTTATCCTCACAAAAAAACTTACTTTGAGGTCCCATTAACACAAAGGCAGGGCTGGTGAAAACCTATCTACACAACTTCGACAGACTCCATATTCAAAGATTCATGAACGTCTGCTTGCGGATGGCCAAGAATGCTCTTTGATACACACCCAACCGTTAAATGTACCAGGAACTGGATCTCAGCACCCAGTAAGGAGATGTCCTTTCGAGAAACCACGCTAAAAACATCTTCGAAGGAATTCAGGCACACCCTACACTGAACAGGAACGACAATAGATTCTGCATGAGAGATAAGCACATGAGGCTGACGAACCAGAACCAGAGACTGATTTCGAGAGTTGCCGTTTGGTGGCTCCGAAGGTAGAGGTAGATATCCAGCAGGTTAAAATTTATTATTTTAGCTCTTGCACACAGTAACCGTATGGGAAAGATTATTTCTCAGACCACTCAACCCGGGGAGAAGCATGGTAGATGGTGGTGGCCTGAAGAAACTATTAACCAACCAGTCAAATCTGTTACAAATAAACAAGTTACTCTCAACTCCTGAGGTACTTTTATTTCCATTAATAAGGAACGCTACATCTGACATCTCGATTTCAGCATCACACCGCCTTGAAATATTTCACAAGTTTATTACGAGTTAAATTCGCGTTGTTATCACGCCGGCGAACATTCATCGATCGTCTCGCGAAAGTGTTCGAGA